CACAAGTCATGTCAAATGTGACTCTATATTCTTATCTGGAGAGCATGCGCAATCAATACCATCGGTGTAGACTGGAATAACCAGACGCTAAAGACTGTCATTCAATTGAGACTTCTCGTGTATTTCGCCGAACATAACTGATTAGAAATTACAGTAAAATCAGAAACGATTGAATGTAAATCAGTTTATATGCATTCATATTACATTATTATATGCATTGCGGCTCATTTGTGTCAATATCTAGGTCCCAAATATTAGCGATTTAGATACTTTAAATATACATTATACAAGCGCTAAATTTGCATATTGCAGGTCTTTCTTTAGGCCTGAAATGTTATCTAAATTATTAATTAAACATTAATTAACTTACCCAGACTGCGATGTTTATTGGGTTAGGTTCCGATTTGCTTGTCGACGTCCATTCATGATTTAATCGTGAAATGGATAATCAAGACTATGTTTTTTTTTATCGTACGGACTTTAGTAATGATGATCGAGGTTGACCGAAAATTCAATCGCCAAAATCTCGGTTCAGAGTGGATCAATTTTGACTGAAATTTTCATCAAATTCCCTTTACATTATTTAGTTTTTAACTATTATAGTGAGAACTGCCAGATCTCCAATAATGTATCTGTAAACGTCCCATGTTTTGCTCCGACGGGCATACGCCATTCAGTGTGCTATGAGGGAAATTTTGCCCGGGCAACGGCACTATGGCCCACTCTTATATCGAATTCCAACTGCCAAGGGATCTTTTACGTGCATGCCAATATATACACGGGACCTCGGTTTTTCGTCTTATCAGAACGATTGGACAGCTGTCCTTGCCAGGGCCTCAGTCCTGCACCACTGAGACAGAGAAACCACGTCGAAAAATCCGATGAACTTTCCCGGACCAATGCAGGGATCGAACACCCGACCCCCAGGCTAGCCAGCCAGAATGTTACTCACTTATCCACCGTGGCTCCCATTATACATATACATTCTTTATATAAACAAACATGGGGTTGGATGGCCGAATGGTTAGCACGTGCGCGCTGTATCTTAAGGTCTTTCATTGAGTCAACTGGCGTGGTTTCGATTCCACGGTTGTACGTGACAAGGAACCATAAGTTAGTCCCGAAATGACCTAGTTTGTGTCGAGTGGACGTCAAACCCCATTATCTCCATCTCTCTCTCTCTCTCCCTCCCTATATATATATATCTCTCTCTCTCTCCCTCACACACACACACACAATGTCAGCAGAAATTCATTTCATAATTCATTTTAAGTGTATTAACATGGTGAAATAACCTGGTGAGGGACCTAGTTCGTGTGAGGCTTACAATAACGATACCATTTGCATTTTTCGCAATAATATCAAGTTTCTCGCGATTATTAAACAATAATTTAGAACACAAAAACAAAATATCAATGTAATCAAAGAAGCTTGTTATTTGTCGTTTCCATTCGCAATATAGAATAGCCAACATTCAAAAGTCCCAATGGAAGTTATACCCTCTCTCTCTCTCTCTCTCTCTCTCTCTCTCTCTCTCTCTCTCTCTCTCCCACCAACGTCCTTTATAATCGCCTGCTAAGAATACTTTACAATTATCTATTATATGGTAATTATTTACGACAGATTAAAATATAAAAACGTTAATAAGTTACATATATACTTATGCGAACTTATAAAGGTTTGTAGCCATAAGAAAATACAAAAATACTATTTTATGGAGTCAAAACTGACACCGGGAAATCTCAAAGTTAACATTAAAATATAACATATCAATAAATTCTTAAAGCATATAACAAACATCCCACGGTTACCATCCAGGAAAAGACAGGTGTGCTTCCAGATCCAGTTCCAAAGATAGTTACTGAAGAGGAAAATGAAAATACTTAAACAAAACGTCACAAATATTTTATGTAGATTTGTACCATTGCAAATCTAATTTGAATAAATTATTATCATACCCAATGATTATGAACAGTAGGGTCTGACAATAGTACCACATGGTAAAGAATCGTTTTGTATTGATTATCGACAGACTAAATTAAAAGTAACATTTCACAAATAGATGACAATATGAAATCAATATACTATTTAAATGGCCATAATTTATGTTAGGATTGATCGATTTAAATACTTGTTGAACCAGAATTTGTGCTGAGTAGTTTGGTTATGTATATTATTAATCTATATTTTACTTTCATGTTTGGGCATCAATGGTTGATCAAATCGCTATGGCTCTGGGTTAAATGGAAGTTACATGTCGTCATTTTATACTCACCTTTAACACTGAACGAGGTAGTTTTCTGGATTGGACCGCCCATTGAATTACCAGCCGAACACGTGTATGTTCCAGCATCATCCATTTCTAAAGCTGATAAATGCAAAACACCATTTGAAGTTGTAAACACTGTCGTTCCTTTACTCCATTGAACTATACAGTCGGGAACACAGTTGACAGAACAGTGTAAGGTTAGACTTGACCCCTTCTTATACGAGGAATGATTTGGTGTTCTGCGAATAACCATGCTTGCTGCATCTGGTGCATCTGTCAAAATATTGAAGAAAGGGCAAGAATGATTATAACACCATATGACCCATCGGATCTCGCCATTTCCAAAGAAACCTACAATTTTTCTTACAGTTGATTATCTGATGAATTAGTTACATTTTGGTATTCTACTTACGTTTAATCGCAACCTGGATTAATGCGGATTTCGACATGTCGTTACTTGCCATACAAGTATATGTCCCCACATCAGATGTCGCTACATTAGTAAGAGTGATCTCCCTTCCCACTGAGAGAATGTTGTTCTGGTGGTCTTTCCACACATAATTACAGCTTTGTACAGGCATACAATCAGCTTCACACGTCATAGTTATTGAACTACCTGGTTCCATTGTTGATGGTGTGCCATCTGATTGGACGACAACTGTTTTTATATAACCTGTAAAACACACAAAAACATGTATACGCTATGGAGCAATAATTTGAAACATCACCACGCCATACAAAAACAAATTAAAGTCAAACCCACGGATAAAACACACACAAAACAAGGATAGAAAGTATAATGACCACAAAACTATTATCAAATCAAGTGAAAACTTGAACAATCATCATCCATCTGTCACATTAACCGCAAATTTAAGTCATAACAGCATAGATTTCCTTGACATTACTGTTTTTAAAAGTAGCAACACCAAACACATAGGCCAATTGGAAACTAAAGTATTTTTCAAAGAAACCGATACACATCAATTATTGTTCAAAGGATTCTCCGTTTTTATAGGATATGCACTCAGAAGACTGACTTTGAGTCAGCACTTACGCTGGTATTTAGCAAACTAAGAGAAATAGGGGATACTCCGACGTATAAAAAATGATACTCTAGTTGAACTTGCCGCAAAAGAAACAAATAATATGCAATCAGCAGTTAAAACCAAATCTTGTGGCCACCCAAAATGTCAAACATGCAAAATCATAAACATATCCGACCATTTCCATAACAAAACATTTGGCACACAATTCCCAATATTAGAAACCAACTTCCATAAAGTAGTTCAAATTTTAATTTATCTAATTTCATGTAGACAATGTGACAAACAATACGTAGGGGAGACTCAAAATGCACTTATTTCTAATCTTATTGTCACGCCAATAAAAAAGACCAAGAGCGACTTTGAAACTACAGAAGAAATTAAAACGTTTAGGCTAACAAGAGAAAAATTCTGCATTGACAAATTGAAAACAGCATCCCCCCTAGGTTTGAATATTCATACGGCTAGCGGAATAGCCCCTTTCGTAGTTCTATTTAGCACAACAGCAGCAAGTGGATCAAAAATCATCAGAAAACACTATACTTATCTCTAAGAAAATCACGCGAATATCTTCACACAGAAACTTATAATTGCGTACTCTAAAAATAAAAATCTGAACGACATCCTAGTGCACAGTAAATTATAAGACTAAATAACACCAGTCCTAACCCTAACCCAAAGCAATGAATATACAGTATCAATCCCTTGACCTAGAACTTAGTAAATAAAATCAACTAATTATAAGAATCCCTAGCCCTAACCCCGGGATATACTGGGAAAAAAACTCATTTTTAGAAAATCCAATCCTGAGTAGCTAGGAAAAACAATAATGTGGCTCTCACCCGAGAACCTCAAATTTATTCTTTTTTCTTCAGAAACCACAATACCAGGATACCACAAGCGACACCGAAGGAAGACCATCAGCGTCACCAACACCCAAAAACCAAATATGTATATTAATCTATGTATTGTATTGCATGTAGGAAATATCACGAACCAAATGTTCATCCTCCTAGGACACTGCTTATGTGGAGACTTAACCTCTCCCACATATTCTTAAACCTAACCTACAATCTCGCCAACAACCACGTGCTCTAACGACATTGACAAAAATTGAGCTGGCCTTAACAAATAGATTTAGCCAGATTCCAGTTCACTATACAGTATCGGGTCTGTAATGATACATTTAAACTTACAACAATTGAGACAATCCAAGTAAAATGGAATATTTGCAGTACATTGTATTATTCTAGTATATGGCATGGTCGACTACCGTATTGATAAGGCATCTTAATGTTGGTATATTCGGTGGCTGAATCAAACACAGTACCCAACGAGCCAACCAACGTTGACAAATCTAAAGATATCGCCGTTATACGGTTTATCAGATAATGAAATGTATTAATTAGCTTACTTTTAACGACAACATTTGATGAATCGGTGACACTTCCAATAGCATTGCTAGCCGTACAGCTGTAAGTGCCATTTTGAGTGATATTGGTAGTATAAGTAGCATTAGTAGAAACTACCACGTTGTTATATTCCCACCTATAGTTACAAACTGGTTTACAATCAGATGAACAGACAAGACTAACATTTTCTCCATATTGCACATTTACAGGATCTTCAGTTGGTGTTATTATAACTGATGATGGTCCATCTGGAAACAAATAGATAAACTACATTTAGTGGATATATATTACAGGATCTTCAGTCCGGGTTGTTATAACTGATGATGGTCCATCTGGAAAAAAACATACACTACACTTAGTGGATATATACTACAGGATCTTCATTCGGGGATATTATAACTGATGATAGTCCTTCTTGAAGGAAGATAAACTACACTTCGTGGATATGTATGTAAACGGAGGTATATGAGTCATTGGTTTCAACAAATGATAAGCGACCACCTGTAATATTTATACTGAACCGTTACAAAGTAATTTTAAGGGATAAAGAAGGTTGGATGGCATAACGGTTAGCGTGTGCGCGCTGCTTCATAAGGTCTGTCATTGAGTCATCTGGCGTGGTTTCGATCCCCCGTGTCCAAACTCGTGGGTTTTCTCCGGGTCCCCCGGTTTACTCCCACTGCTTAAGTCTCCTAGGCGCAAGACATTAAATTAAAAATTGAACCATGTTAGTCCCGAAATGACCTAATTTGTGTGTGTGTCTCTCTCTCCCTCCCTCCCTTAAGCAACATATTGAAACAACACGATTGAGGTCTGTCCCAAGTGTTGTTTCGATATATTACGTAATGTCTCAATCTCGAGACCATTAAACAACTTAAAATAAGACACTCGCATATGCTTTGCAATGACATACGTCACGCGGGTCCAAAATTTCAAATAGTATAAATAAGGTACGTTTGACATAATACTATGGTCCGTATCATTATTTGAAAAAAAGTAGCCTATGTCAACATCAAAGGATGACGTCACATCAGTATTTTAAAGTAAGTCGATTGTAGTTATTCTTAAACAAGAATGACCCTTTGCTGATTAATATAATATAACTGCGTCATAAAATGGTGGATTTATTACACAAACGTACAACAGGTATTTACAAATTTAAAGAAAACAACAAACGTACAATTCACTTGAACATTAGTAGATTCTGTCACTGGAACATTAGTAGATTTTGTCACTTGAACATTAGTAGATTTTGTCATGCTTCCTAATGTGTTGGTTGCTGTGCAAGTATAGACACCACTGTGACTTGTATTATAAATAGCCATATTAGAGACAATAACATTGTTATATTTCCATGTATAATTACAGCCGGGTTGACAATCAGCAGAACAGTTGAAGCTTAGAGATTCTCCACTTGTTATTGTTACTGGATCAGATGATGGTGTTATTACTACTGATGATGGTTCATCTGAATTGATAATAATAAACAATACATTTAAATAACATAACAAACTTCATACTGCTGATTAAAGCCATTGAAATTTATATATCCTAACATTTCCGAATTATAAATTATCGGGTTTTATATAAAAGAATATATCCTGGCTTTAATTAGGTCATCTAGTTTAAACTGATTGGGTGTGACTAGAAGGTACACATAGGTCAAATAACGAATATATCCTATCCTGTCAAACAGTAGATGAAATAACGAATATATCCTATCCTGTCAAACAGTAGATGAAATAACGAATATATCCTATCCTGTCAAACAGTGGGTGAAATAACGAATATATCCTATCCTGTCAAACAGTGGGTGAAATACCGAATATACCCTATCCTGTCAAACAGTAGATGAAATAACGAATATATCCGATCCCGTCAAACAGTAGGTGAATATATATCCTATCCTGTCAAACAGCAGGTGAAACAACGAATATATCCTATCCTGTCAAATAGTACATTTGCAAGTTATGCCTGTGTATGATGAAACATGGTGTCAAAGGTCATTGTTCGTATATATCCACGTTCAACAAATATGTTACGATTTTCTGTAAATGGATGTGCACGAAATAATAAAATCGTTAAAAGGCAGGTTTATTGCCTTACTTTATTATTATCACAGGGATGCAATGCACCACTTCGAATCACAATATGCGCCACGTTTGTTAGTTGTGTCGGAGGTTGGTCATACAGCTGTCATTTGTGACATGGAATTACAGATACAATAATCAGTATACTCACACTGAACTTGTAATTGTATAGATTTGTAAGTTTCAAAGAGAGTATTTGATGACGGTTCATCTTCTACATGGATACATCTATATCTCCCAGTCATCGAACGAGTAGCCATGTTGATCACCATTGAGTTTCCCTGTCCAGTGTTATAGAATGAGCCAGATAATGTATCCCATATATTTGTACAGGTAATACCATTTATGTTATTACATGGGTAGCCATCAACAGAACACGTTATTGTTATACTGTCGCCTTCATTAACTGTTATAATATCACTCGGTGGATTGATTGTTATGAAACTTCTGTCTTGAACTGTAATATTAATATACATATTTTAAATAATTTTGTTTAACTGAATTGCATGAAATTGTTAACTCAGTACAGACCAGATAACACAAGTCAATATAAAACTATATTTTATGTAGTTATGTTTATTCAAGTACAGCATTTATTTTTATCTGAAAGTATGAAAATTGTTCTTTTTAGTCCGTCTTTGTTTGTATTACAGCAGAAAAGGTACACAATCTTATTTCTTGGCTCGATACGCCCAGTAAGACAATTTTTACAGAAAGAAGCAACAATTGAAATGATTTACAATGTTTCAATACATACCGGATATTCTTAATGACCGTTTTAGTTCAGAACCATAATAAGTGACAATACATGTGTACAGCCCTCCCAGAGTAGAGTTGATATTATTTAACGAAAGCTGACTTGTTGATGCTACTAAATCAGTTCCCTTCATCCATTTATATTGACAGATACCAGTACATTGGGCTGTACAAGTTAAAACATCGGATTCTTCGGATAGTAAAGTTAGGTCGTTGGTTGAAGATATAAAACCAGTTGAAGATGTTATCTTAATATTTTTAATTCCAGGTTCTTGTAAAAAGAGGAATTATTATTATCAAACATATAAATATGATAAGAATACTAACAATAATTACCACAAGTATTAATGATTTTCTTACAGTGCTTATCACACCTGGCTGGGAATAAATGAAATGAAATGAAATGGGGTTTAACGTCCTGCTGTTTTGCTCCGAATTGGGCTTAGGAAGACGGGCATACGCCATACAGTGTGCTATGAGGGAAATTGTGCCCGGACAGCGGCACCACGACTTACTCTTATATCGAATTCCAACTGTCAGGGGATCTTTTACGTGCACGCCAATGTGTACACGGGACCTCGGTTTTTCGTCCCAGCCGAACGACTAGACAGCTGTACTTGTCAGACCCTCGGCTGGGAATAAATTGGTAGGATGGTATTACTAGTGTAAATACGGGGGTGATTCAATATTTAACTTCTCAACCTAAAGACTCTATATTAGATAAAATATTACGGGCATAGACACCTTTTTAGTCTACTACAAAATCCTAAATTAACTATTTAAATTTATGATTTGTCTCTTTTCAACATGTCTATTTTTCTGTTCGATTGGCGGCTTCCTCTTCTAGAATTGCCGTTTTGGGCGCTATGCGAATTACTAGATTACTGCTTTGACCACAAATCACACCTACACAAATAATTTACAGGCTATTAGATCAATTTGTACACGATGAAGTCCCATTAGCCCAAAATCCTTAATAATGTGCCTACCTGTTGAATTCAAATACACAGTATCACCTATAGATTTTGTAGTATCTGAACATCTCCAATATCCTGTATCTCTCCCTGGGTCGAAGCTGCTTATAGTTAGGGTACTTATTGTCCAATCACTTTCTGCACCACTGCCAGAACATGTTATTGACATATGGCTTATATCCGGAGCGTCGTTTTCCGTCAATCTAAAACACCCATTCATGAAGATAGTGATCATACCAGGTGGACCCGACCAGGTTAATTCGTTTTGGGCAAATGCAGAACATGTTAGGGTCACTGAAGAACCTGTTGTAACAATGGTTTCGGATGCTATTAATGTCATGTTTGGTAACTGTACAGAAGGAGCTGAAAAGATATATATATGGCACCATTAATATGTATAAGTATTATCTGGTGGACAATGAGAACAATAAATCATGATTCTCCACGTGTTCTATCTTATTACTGGATCCGACGGTGGTTTGCTGGTGGTGATCCACCTGAGGTAAAATTAATATTTAAAATTACAAATTAGATTGTTTTAAACAAGAAATTATGATTCTCCACTTGTTCTATCTTATTACTGGATCCGATGGTTGTGCTGGTGGCCCACCTGAGGTAAAATTAATATTTAAAATAACCTTTTACACATAGGTATTCAAGAACAATTGGTAATTTATAGAGGTAACGTTCGGAAGAGTATTATTTCAACACTACCAAGCAAGTGACAAACTAATCTAATTTTTAATACAATTGGCTTTATGATATCCATATTAATAAAATGTGGGTTAAGAAAAACAACTTAGTAAATAATCATATTAGAATTTCAATAAACCTTACCATTTACTACAACATTAGTAGATTTTGACTCAGTTCCTAGACTATTGGCCACAGTACAAATATAGATACCACTCTGACTTGTATTAATACCATTAATGGTATAAGTAGCCATAGTAGAAACTGTAACATTGTTATGTGTCCATGTATAATTACAATCTGGTTGACAATCAGCAGAACAGACGAGACTTAAAGATTCTCCATTTGTTATTGTTACCGGGTCTGATGTCGGAGTTATTACTATGGATGATGGTCCATCTAAGATAAAACAAAAACAAATTAACTGAAATATACCATTATAAACTAGATTCATTTAATGTGTTATTAATATGTTTGGTCACGAAGAACCGTTAATTAAAATAATAATATTAAAATTTCAAAAATACTTACTATTTACTACAACGTTAGTAGATTTTGTCACATTTCCTACAATGTTGGTTGCTGTGCAAGTATAAATACCACTGTGAGTGGTATTAATACTATTGATGGTATAAATAGCCACAGTAGAGACAATAACATTGTTATATTTCCATGTATAATTACAACCGGGTTGACAATCAGCAGAACAGTTGAAGGTTAGAGATTCTCCATTTGTTATTGTTACTGGATCTGATGATGGTGTTATTACTACTGTTGATGGTCCATCTGAATTGATAATAATAAACAATACATTTAAATAACATATCAAACTCCATACTGCTGATTAAAGCCATTGAAATTTATATATTCTAACATTTCCGAGTTATAAATTATCGGGTTTTATATAAAAGAATATATCCTGGCTTTAATTAGGTCATCTGGTTTAAACTGATTGGGTGTGACTAGACGGTACACATAGGTGAAATAACGAAAATATCCTATCCTGTCAAACAGTAGATGAAATAACTACTGTTATATCCTATCCTGTCAAACAGTAGGTGAAATAACGAATATATCCTATCCTGTCAAACAGTGGGTGAAATAACGAATATATCCTATCCTCTCAAACAGTAGATGAAATAACGAATATATCCTATCCTGTCAAACAGTACATTTGCCAGTTATGCCTGTGTATGATGAAACATGATGACAAATGTCATTGTTCGTATATATTTACATTCAACATATATGTTACGATTTTCTGTAAATGGATGTGCACGAAATAATAAAATCGTTAAAAGGCAGGTTTATTGTCTTACTTTATTATTATCACAGGGATGCAATGCACCCTTTAGAATCACTATATGCGCCACGTTTGTTGCATGTGCCGGGGGGTGGTCATACAGCTGTCATTTGTGACATGGAATTACAGATACAATAGTCAGTATACTCACATTGAACCTGTAATTGTATAGATTTGTAAGTTGCAGTGTGAGTATTAGATGACGGTTCATCTTCTACATGGATACATCTATATCTCCCAGTCATCGAACGAGTAGCCATGTTGATCACCATTGAGTTTTCTTGTCCAGTGTTATAGAATGAACCAGATAATGTATCCCATATATTTGTACAGGTAATACCATTTATGTTATTACATGGGTAGCCATCAACAGAACACGTTATTGTTATACTGTCTCCTTCATTAACTGTTATAATATCACTCGGTGGATTGATTGTTATGGAACTTCTGTCTTGAACTGTACGATTAATATATTTTTTAAAAAATTACAAATTTTAATTGATAAAACAACTCAATATAAATGTATATCTTATGTAGTTATGTTTATTCAAGAACAACATTTATTTTTATCTGAATGTATGAAAATTGTAATTTTCAGTCCGTGTTTATTTGTATTCCAACAGAAAAGGTACACAATGTTACTTTTTGGCTCGATACGCCAACAAGACTTTATTTTACAGAAACAAGCAACAATTGAAATGATTTACAATGTTTCAATACATACCATATATTCTTAATGACCGTTTTAGATCAGAACCATAATAAGTGGCAATACATGTGTACAGCCCTCCCAGAGTAGCGTTGATATTATTTAACGAAAGCTGACTTGTAGATACTACTAAATCAGTTCCCTTCATCCATTTATATTGACAGATACCAGTACATTGGGCTGTACAAGTTAAAACATCGGATTCCTCGGATAGTAAAGTTAGGTCGTTGGTTGAAGATATAAAACCAGTTGAAGATCTTATCTTAATATTTTTAATACCAGGTTCTTGTAAAAAGATCAAACATATAAATATGATAAAAATAATAACAATAATTACCACAATTATTAATGATTTTCTTACAGTGCTTATCACACCTGGCTGGGAATAAATGAAATGAAATGAAATGGGGTTTAACGTCCTGCTGTTTTGCTCCGAATTGGGCTTATGAAGACGGGCATACGCCATACAGTGTGCTACGAGGGAAATTTTGCCCGGACAGCGGCACCACGACTTACTCTTATATCGAATTCCAACTGTCAAGGGATCTTTTACGTGCACGCCAATGTGTACACGGGACCTCGGTTTTTTTTCGTCCCATTCGAAAGACTAGACAGCTGTACTTGTCAGACCCTCGGCTGGGAATAAATTGGTAGGATGGTATTGCTAGTGTAAATATGGGGGTGATTCAATATTTAACTTCTCAACCTAAAGACTCTATATTAGATAAAATATTACGGGCATAGACAACTTTCTAGTCTACTACAAAATCCTAAATTAACTATTTAAATTTATGATTTGTCTCTTTTCAACTTGTCTATTTTTCTCTTCGATTGGCGGCTTCCTCTTCTAGAATTGCCGTTTTGTGCGCTATGCGAATTACTAGATTACTGCTTTGACCACAAATCACACCCACACAAATAATTTACAGGCTATTAGATCAATTTGTACACGATGAAGTCCCATTAGCCCAAAATCCTTAATAATGTGCCTACCTGTTGAATTCAAATACACAGTATCACCTATAGATTTTGTAGTATCTGAACATCTCCAATATCCTGTATCTCTCCCTGGGTCGAAGCTGCTTATAGTTAGGGTACTTATTGTCCAATCACTTTCTGCACCACTTCCAGAACATGTTATTGACATATGGCTTATATCCGGAGCGTCGTTTTCCGTCAATCTAAAACACCCATTCATGAAGATAGTGATCATACCAGGTGGACCCGACCAGGTTAATTCGTTTTGGGCAAATGCAGAACATGTTAGGGTCACTGAAGAACCTGTTGTAACAATGGTTTCGGATGCTATTAATGTCATGTTTGGTAACTGTACAGAAGGAGCTGAAAAGATTTATATATGGCACCATTAATATGTATAAGTATTATCTGGTGGACAATGAGAACAATAAATCATGATTCTCCACGTGTTCTATCTTACTACTGTATCCGACGGTGGTTTGCTGGTGGTGATCCACCTGAGGTAAAATTAATATTTAAAATTACAAATTAGATTGTTTTAAACAAGAAATTATGATTCTCCACTTGTTCTATCTTATTACTGGATCCGATGGTTGTGCTGGTGGCCCACCTGAGGTAAAATTAATATTTAAAATTAGATTGTTTTAAACATTAGTTTAATGGGACTTAATGAAGATTAAGCTTTATATCTGGGGGTCGTATATGTCTAAAATGTCTTTATGCGAAATGCAAAGAGGCATTGAGTACAGAGCAATAACCTTTTACACATAGGTATTCAAGAACAATTGATAATTTATAGAGGTAACGTTCGGAAGAGTATTATTTCAACACTACCAAGCAAGTGACAAACTAATCTAATTTTTAATACAATTGGCTTTATAATATCCATATTAATAAAATGTGGGTTAAGAAAAACAACTTAGTAAATAATCATATTAGAATTTCAATAAACCTTACCATTTACTACAACATTAGTAGATTTTGACTCAGTTCCTAGACTATTGGCCACAGTACAAATATAGATACCACTCTGACTTGTATTAATACCATTAATGGTATAAGTAGCCATAGTAGAAACTGTAACATTGTTATGTGTCCATGTATAATTACAATCTGGTTGACAATCAGCAGAACAGACGAGACTTAAAGATTCTCCATTTGTTATTGTTACCGGGTCTGATGTCGGAGTTATTACTATGGATGATGGTCCATCTAAGATAAAACAAAAACAAATTAACTGAAATATACCATTATAAACTAGATTCATTTAATGTGTTATTAATATGTTTGGTCACGAAGAACCGTTAATTAAAATAATAATATTAAAATTTCAAAAATACTTACTATTTACTACAACGTTAGTAGATTTTGTCACATTTCCTACAATGTTGGTTGCTGTGCAAGTATAAATACCACTGTGAGTGGTATTAATACTATTGATGGTATAAATAGCCACAGTAGAGACAATACCATTGTTATATTTCCATGTATAATTACAACCGGGTTGACAATCAGCAGAACAGTTGAAGGTTAGAGATTCTCCATTTGTTATTGTTACTGGGTCTGATGATGGTGTTATTACTACCGTTGATGGTCCATCTGGATTTATAATAATAAACAATACATTTAAATGACATAAGAAATGGCATACTGTAATTTAAATAACATAACAAATAATGTAGTTTAAACCCATTATAACTTATATTCTAATATGGCCGTATTATAAATTATCGGACCAGTTAGCCCAATATATCCTGGGTCATCTATTTTAATCTGATTGGATCTGATTGGATTTGACTAGAAAGTACACAATAGGTGAAAAAAAGAATATATTCTATCCTGCCAAACAATAGGCGAATTAACGAATAAATCCTATCCTGTCAAACAGTAGGTGAAATAACGAATATATCCTATCCTGTTAAACAGTAGGTGAAATAACGAATATATCCTATCCTGTCAAACGGTATATTTGCCAGTTATGCCTGTGTATGATGAAACATGGTGTCAAAGGTCATAGTTCGTATAAATTCGTGTTTAACATATATGTTATGATTTTCTGTAAATGGATGTGCACGAAATAATAAAATCGTTAAAAGGCAGGTTTATTGCCTTACTGTATTATTATCACAGGGATGCAATGCGCCACTTTGAATCACTATATCTGCCGGAGGGTGGCCTTCGATTATGTTACATGGAATAACAGATAAAATGATCAACATTGAACCCGTAATTGTATAGATTTGTAAGTTTTAAAGTGAGTATTTGATGGATACATCTATATATTCCAGTCATCGTGCGATTAGCGATGTATTGTATTATATTGGTTAGACACGAATAGATTAATGAGAGAAACTTACACGGAACTAAGACTTGTATTGGCAAAGTTCTATAAGTAAACCAGTGAGTATTAGATGAGTCATCGTCTATAGCATAAATGCATCTATATATTCCAGCTTGCGACACAGTTGCGTTGTTAATCACAAAAATATTTGTATTACTGGGATTAATTATTGCCACATTAGCTACATTAGGTAAAGCATCCCAATAGTTCTGGCACATATACCCAAATAGGTTGCACATAGGATCTTTTTCAGTGAAGCAATTTATAGAAATGGTCTGCCCTTCAAATAATGTTACTAAATCTCCCGGTGGATCAAATTTAATAAAATCTCTTGATAAGACTGAAATTAAAATGTTACAAAAATATATATTAAAGTTCGTTAATTTGTAGTGATGTGTATGGATACACCATAGAGTATGAGAGATAAAAAAGGACGCCTTGCGTGGATTTATACGCCAGCGCACAGCATGTTAAACATACATTATGCAAGAGCTAAATCTGCCTATTGCAGGTCTTTCTTTGGGCCTGAAATCTTATCTAAATCATTAATTAGACATCAATTAACTTATCCAGACCATAATCAACTCTCGGTGTCAACGCTAGCCTGCGATATTTATTGGATTATGATCCGATTTGCTGCTCATCTTTCATTCATGATTTAATCATGAAATGGATAATCGAGACTATGTTTTTTTTTTATCGTACCGGCTTTAGTAATGATGATCGAGGCTAGGTCGAAATTTCAATCGCTTTATTCTCGGTTCATAGTGGATCAATTTGAGTGAAATTTTCAGCAAATTGCCTTTACATTATCTAGTTTTTAACTATTATAGTGAGAACTCCCAGCTCTTTATCTAATCTCCCATAATATATCTTTAATTTAGCCATGCGTATGGAAGCGCCATAGGGTATGAGATGAATAAAATGATGTTTTCCAAGGATTCATACGCCAGCATGTTAATATGGTCAAACACATAAAACTATACCTCGTCCATATGCGTCGGCCCATTCAATATATTTTGTAATCTATCAGTCTGCGATATTTGCAAAGATATTTCACTAATACCTTCACATATTAAATTTAATACGAATATTTTACTATGCATCTCTATAACACTTGCGGGTATATACCTTGAAGCACGATCCATTAACATGGACCATCGTGTCTAAACTAATTTTAACAACTGTTGGTATAAACTGTACAAATCTTAGAGTAGAGATCAAGCAGTGATACTTACCGATTACTTGTATGCTTTTAGTCAGCCCCCCCCCCACCCCCACCCAGGATGTCAGGATTTTTATTCACATTTTATTAACTGTACAAATCTGTAGGACCAAGCAATAATATTTACCTAATACACTTAAGCTTTTAGTCAGTTCCACACCATTATAAGATACATGGCATATATAAAGTCCACCCATAGTCGAGTTGATATCATTTAGCGGAAGTTGACTTGTAGATGCTACTAATTCACCACCTTTCTTCCATGTATACTGACAATTACCAGTACATTCAGCTGTACATGTTAAAGTCTCACTCTCTTCTTCCAATACTGTCATATCATTAAGTCTGGTAATGAGACCCGGGGTTGATGTCTCTATGTCAATGTTTTTCGGAGAATTACCTGTAAAACAGACAATGTGTTAGCCCACATTAATATAATTAATGAATGAAAGTATGGTTAATGACATGGCAGCACCAACCGGGTTATATTGGGTCAATATATTTCGGACAGTTTGAATCAAAAACTAAAATTAACAATGCATAAATAAAGCAGTGGCTACCAGGCAGAATACCCCCACATTTTGCAAGAGATGGGTAGAGAACAAACTAGAAACAAAAACGATTGTTTGTGGAATCAGGGGCCATTATCCAGAAAGTTATGGTCTGAAATGCGCAAATATCAAATATGTTTTAAGTTCCATCATAATCGGATGTAACCTTTGTATTACATACTTATACACAATTTGCGTACAAATAGCGGCCATTTTGCCGGGTAGTTTCATTTCGATTTTCCCGAAATTCGAATTCAACCTTCATTATGGTGGAATGGTGATATATCTAAACGGTTTTTAAAATCGGAACAAAATTGTGACCTTACGTTGTTTTTTTTTAAATCGGATACAAATTATGACCTCTATAGGGACCACAAGCTCAAAACGCGATTTTTCGTACAACAAGGGCCATAATTCGGGAATTTACGATTCGATATGCGCGAATATCGAAAGAAACCAAGATCTTTGGGTTATAAACATGCTTTTCAAGTTTAATCAAAATCGGATAAAAATTGTGACCTCTAGGAGGTCCACAACCTTGATATACCAGATGTTTACACTATTTGCGTACAAGGCTCGGCCATTTTGTCCGACAGTTTTAGTCCGATTTTCACGAAATTCGAACTCAACCATCATTAGTGTGTAACGGTGATATACTAAAACGGTGTTTTAAATCGGATTAAAATTGTGAACTCTAGAGGGACCACAAGTTAAATCGCGATTTTTCGTACAATCAGGGGCCATAATTCACTACGTTACGATCCGATATGCGCGAATGTCGAAAGGAACTAATATTGGTCTATTTTCGTATATGTCGTCACTTCCTGCTATCAATTTTAAAGTTTAAGTTATTTCAGCTTTTGAAATAAGTACCATTCAGATAGCACACAGTTCAATTCTGTACAATATGTACTTATTCCGAAAACACGAGGAAAAATAACAAATAATATTCCTAACAAAAAAACAAAAGTTTTTACACTATGTAACCTAGGTAGTAGTATAACAACTAATAAATATATTTCCCTTTAAAATAATTAGCTACTGTGTATATAGCGCGAATAAACTGTTTAATGGCTGGTAACGGTAAACACGATCGAAAAAAAAAATAATAATCCGAACAAAAACAATAGTTTTTAAATACTAATAAAGATATGTCGAATTAAAATAATTATATTATGTGTATATAGCGCGAACAAACTGTTTAATGGCTGGTAACGGTAAACACGAAGAAAAATATAATAATAATAATCCGAACAAAAACAATAGTTTTTAAACACAAATAAAGATACGTCCCATTAAAATAATTTTATTATGTGTATATAGCGCGAACTGTTTAATGGATGGTAACGGTAAAAAAAAAAATAACCTATATCCTCGAAACTTCTACTACGACAATAAGCATAGCTGGCAACTTCTTCTCTGGAACTAGCATTTAATTAAAACGATCGTTTAGTCTTACTATTTGTTAATTTAAAGCTGATATTGGTTCTCAAGTAACCGATTATTAAATTATTTGTACTACTGATTATTTTACTTTTATCCCACACATAAGTTGTAAATAATAGGATTTCTATTTAATAATATGAATAGATCTCGAAGTAAAAGGCGGCTAGCGCGGAAGTGTTCACTGCACTGTACAGTCGCGGATCTGACGTAACTCCCCTTCACTCAAAAGTATCTCACCAGGGGGGCAATCCACAACCGCAAAACACGAAAAGGGATCATATCATAATCGGCTACGTGGCTTAAATTAGATCTATTCAATTTAGAGACAAGGTATTTGAAATAAGTATTTGAAAAATATACTAAAGAACCGACGAATACAATCGTGATTGGCTCATTGTGGACACGATATAGTGCGATTAGCCCGAAATTATTAATAATGTGCCTACCTGTAGAATTCAAATACACAGTATCAGCTATAGATGTTGTAAAATCTGAACATTCCCAATATCCCGCATCTCTCCCTGGGTCGAAGCTGCTTATAGTTAGGGTACTTATTGTCCAATCGCTTAATGCACCACTGCCAGAACCACATGTTATTGATATATGGCTTATATCAGGGGCATCTGTTTCAGTCAATCTAAAACACCCATTCCCATTCATGAAGTTTGTGATACTACCAGATGGACCTGACCAGCTTAATTCGTTTTGGGCAAATGCAGAACATGTTAGGGTCACTGACGAACCTGTTGTAACAGTGGTTTCGGATGCTACTAATGTCATGTTTGGTAACTGTACAGGAGCTGAAAAGATATACATATGGCTTCAATAGTATGTATAAGTATAATATGGTTGACAATCAGAACAAAAATTATAATTATGATTATTACTGGATCCGATGGTGGTGCTTTTACTACTATTGGTGGTGATGGTCCACCTGTTATAAAATTAATAACATATCATTTTAAATTAGATTGTTTTAAACATTTTAGTTTAATGTGCTCAAGGAAGCTTAAGCTTTATATCTTGACGATGCTATATAACATTCGGCGGTACAAGTTAAATCATCGGGGATTCCTCGAATAGTAAACTTAGGTCGTTGGTAAAAGATGTTATCTTAATATATTTAATATCGGTGACTTATTAAAAGAGGACTTATTATTATCAAACGTATAAATATAATGTTATACACTTTAACTGTTACCCACTTTAACTTCTCTTTAATCTTAAACCGTTGAACAAATATATCTAGGTTATAGAGTTGGTGTGGCTGCCTACCACACCAACCCTACACCAACCCTATAGTCTTGATATATTTGATTGCGGACGGATTGGGACCCATTTTATTAGAATAATATGGGGCATGGAATAGTGTATGACAAAACCATAACCATAAACAACGGAAGTGCAATATCATGCACGTCACTGTGTAACGAGCGACCATTTTCCACCCAACCTTATTTGTGAAGATGATGAAATGAAACATAGTACCATAGGGTAATCAGATAAAGAGACGAATTAATTTAATAGCACGTGAAATTTATCAGGGAATGTGTAAAATATGCGATCTGTGTTTTGTGAAATGGACCTCTGGTTACGCCAGATATACGCCAAAATGACGATAGAGATCATGTATTTCTCAAACATTTTCAATGCAGAGGGGAGCGAACCCATAAGCCCCCCCCCCCACACACACACACACACACAAACACATACACCCAAAGATACATTGTCTCAGGAACCTAGCACACACCCTCACGCGAAAATTCCTGGACCCGCCCCTGCAGTATTGATACAGAAACAGATAATTCAAACTTATCAACAATTCCTTCGTGAACATCACAGATCGTTTTAATAACCCGAGTCTTAAGTACCAATGCATCAGAATAACCATAAAACAGGGTGGTCGTTCAAATGTGGATATAAGTATCAACATTAACATAAATACTCCTCGAGGACTATTCTTTTAAATAAGGCTACTCGACAATTCGTGATTGCGGGCATTTTCAACGAAATGTCATTTTTTGCGATAAAGTCACGCCAAATTGTCCTATTTAATTGATCGGCAACATATATTTTAAGATTCATTTAAATGGGACCATAATTGAAGGCGGCTCTAGAGGTTCCACAAACTTGTCCAATTATTCACGTTTACTTAAATGGCAAAGGCCATAACACAAGAAGTTTCAACTTTCTACAGATCTGTAAATACTTAAGTTTTATCTAAATCGGACCAGTAATTGTTCGTTCTAGAAACTTTTAACATAATTCACATTTTCGTAAAAGGCGAGGGTCATAACCCAAGAAGTAACGGTCTGATGCAGACAAAAATCGGACTCCTCCAATATCTTTTAATCGTTTAACTATTGTCGTACGTCATCTAAATAGGTAAAAAAATATGGCCTCTGGAGGTACCAAAACCCTCGTGCATATTTCACAATTATACCTGAAAGGTCGAGGTTCATAATACAAGAAGTGTCTGTTTCGACGCACACCAAAAACAGATCTATGAGAGATATTTAAGATATATATATGTATATAAATTTACATTTCATGTGAACCAACGGCTTACAATAATACTAATCCCAACACGTCCCTATAGTAATTTTAGTATTTGTATGAAATTTAGTACACAGTAATACTACCCCCACCACGTCCATATAGCACTATAATAGCAACCTCCCTAGAAGTTTGGTTGTCAGTAATACTACCCTTGGCTAAGTGGGTAAGACGCTGGCTCGCTAGCCTGGAGGTCGGGTGTTCGATCCCTGTATTGGCCGAGAAAGTTCATCCAGATTTTCCGGCGTGGTTTCCCCTTGTCAGTGATGCAGGACGGAGGGCCTGACAATGAAAGCTGTCTAGTCGTTCGGATGGGACGAAAAACCGAGGTCCCGTGTACAGATTGGCGTGCACGTAAAAGATCCCTTGGCAGTTGGAATTCGATATAAGAGTAGGCCGTAGCGCCGCTGCCCGGGCAAAATTTCCCTTATAGCATACTGTATGGCGTATGCCGACTTCATTAGCCCAATTTAGGAGCAAACAGTAGGACGTTAAACTCCATTTCATTTCATTCCAATACTACCCTCATCTCCACCCTGTAGTAATTTTAGTACTTGTATGAAGTTTAGTAGTCAGTAATACTATCCCATCACGTCCTTATAGCAGCCTCACTAGAAGTTTAGTTGTCAGTAATACTGCCCCACACCACGTCTCTATGGTAATTTTTGATAATCTCAGATAGTTTTCAGTGTTACGTAGGAAGCAGTTGAGGTTTGGATTTTTCAAAATATTAATATACATTTTGTTATGTTTTAAAACAGATCTTTGGAATAAAATATATCGAACTTTTCTTCCAAATAAATTATATCGTAGATAAATAACCCAATGTAATTGATGAGGTATTTGTTTTAATACATTATTAGTGTTATACAACTCACCTGGGGAGGTCAATGCAGCTGCCAATGTGAGGGTCGTTCCAGTAGAGAGTGCATCTGTCAAAATAAGAAGACGATATAGGATTAGCTGTTGTTAGTTTTATATTACATATTTTGATATACATGTACATGTAATTACTTATCTAAATTGACTAATTGCTTTAAAGTGGACAAGTTAATCTTTACTCCGAACCCTGATCGTTCTAATCTGAACGCGCTGTCTTATCTATTTACCTTTTCTGAACATCTATAATTTAATATTACTTAACATGCATCTTAGTCATTGATTCAGTTTGTACCTATAATGTAAATATGTTAATTTATATCACATTTTGTATGATATTTTTAACTCTTATCATGTATATGTTCAAATATTTCTGGTTTAATTATTCTTAATATATTAAGATGGCGCTAGCGACTGGTTATAAATATAAGACGAAATACGGACAATTATGTTCATTCATATTGTGCTTAGTTATTCGCCTCGTTAATTTACACCAAATGTAGTTAGGGTCGAATATTTTCCGGGAAAAACATAGGCACACTAGTTTAGTTGGTGTTAGTAAGAAAATAAAGCAATTAAATGTTACGAGCGTATTTCACCCATTTAGATCATCGACAAAGGTGTGAAGGTTATGGTGCTTGTTACTGTTCTTGATTAAAAACAACAGATACAAAAACAGTTCGATTTAAAAATAATATCAAAATCAAGAATGATATTTATTAGCAATGTATACTTACAATCTACATATATTCCTAAAAGTAGGCAGAGAAAGGGAATTCTGCCGCCCATCCTTATTTTGACGTACTGAAAATAACCCACCGTTACTCCTTCGCGACTGATATGCAAACGAAGTAAGTCAAACAGTTTGATAGCATTTTATAAAGTTACGTATACCTATATGTCAATGCAAACCGGATACGAATACAATCTTAGTGGGGATCTTTCAATAGATCGGCTGTATAAGCTATTGCATAAAGGAGGGTGTGTAGTGTATCTATACTCAGACCCATTATCTACAATACAATATTAAAGACACACCCCACGATATATCCTCTGTTTACTGTGATCAGGGCCCTGTTTCTCGAAATTTTAACTAAAGATAAAATCCAATTTTAATAGATACTTCAATTTTGATTGGCTAAGCACTAAAATCAATCTAATATTATCCAATCAAATTACTAAAATTTCGTGAAACAGCCCCCAGATCATGAGCTCTAAATGCTCCTTTCAAATCGTTTACAACCAATTAGACCTATTCTATAGCAATGGCGACTATTGAATTTGAAAGCTATTTATAGTTAAAGATACATTATAGGAGATTAAATAAAGAGCTGGCAGTTCGCACTATAATAGTTAAAAACTAGATAATGTAAAGGGAATTTGCTGAAAATTTCAGTCAGATTGATCCAGTCTGAACCGAGAATTTAGCGATCGAATTTTCGGTCTAGCTTCAATCATCATTACTAAAGTCGGTACGATAAAAAAAAAATATAGTCTCGATTATCCATTTCATGATTTAATCATGAAGTAAAGTTGAGCAGCACATCGGATCCTAATCCAGTAAATATCGCAGACTAGCGATGACATCGAGAGTTAATCATGTTCTTGTTTTGTTAATAAATGTCTCATTAATACTTTATATAATTTTAGGCCTAAAGAAAGACCTGCAATAGGTAGATTTAGCTGTTGCATAATGTATGTTTAATAACACAACACACACACACATGTCAGCATTCCTTTTATGTTTTCATCGTTTACAGTGAAACAAAGTAGTACAGCTTTACGGTTGTGCTAATATTTTTACTATAGTAAAAGGTAAAAGTTAAAGCCACTCTTAGGTGTTAGATATTAGAAACTAGGTTTTTGCTAGTACTGTCTACTTTATTAAGCTTCTTCGGGCAGAACTGTTAAATTGTTAAATATTAGAAATAATGTTGGTTTAGGAAAGAAAACTGGGTTTTTGGGAGTACTTTCTGCTTTATTAATATTCTTCGGACAGAATTGTTAAAAGTTGTTTTAGGAAAGAAACCTGGATTTTTGCGAGTGCTTTCTGCTTTATTAAGCTTCTTCGGGCAAAATTTACAGAGCACGATGTGTTTTTATGGACATTTCTGTGATAAGGAATCGGCCATTATTTAACGAATGAAAGCATATAGGCCTATCCTGTTACCCAATCCTGTTCGTATTGAATAAAATATAGTTTAAAAATAATGAAGGCATATCATATCAATAAAATAGCAATAACATATTTACACTGGTGTCACAATATCCATAATTCTATTTACACTGGTGACACCATTACGTTGCGTAGAACAATATACATTTCTATTTACAGTCTATTAGAACTTAAAGGAGCCAAGTCTCTAACTCAATATCATCCAGTTTTCGACATTGAAAACACGAATTATTTGTCTATTTAAATCAACATTGATGTTGTTATCTTACCGGTAAAAGATGGGCTACTGATATCCAATATTTAAGACAAAATAAACATTTTACCATTGGTACACGAATCGTGTACAATGCGTTTCAGCGCCATTTGTAACACGAGACTCGAAGAACGAGGCTAGATATATTCAACAAGTCATGCCAAACGATGACGCCATATTCTTATCTGGAGAGCATGCACAATACATACTATCGGTATAGACTGGAATAACCAGACGCTAGAGATTGCCATTCGATTGAGACTTCTGGCGTATTTCGCCGAACATAACTGATTACAGATTAGAGTAAAAACGGAAACCATTGAATGTAAATCATTTTATATACATTCATATAACATTATTATATGCGTTGCGACCCATTTGTATCAATTTCTAGGTCCCAAATATTAGCGATTTAGCTCCTTTAAGTTTGAAGTAGACCAATATAATAATTACATGTATATAAAAATGATTTGCGTAGGCGCACGGGCTCGAAGAATGATTAGGGGAGAGGGGGGGGGGCAGAACTTAACTCACTGGTTTGCACGAATAAAACTCCTTAACGCCGTCCCATGAGTAAAAATAAAATAAATATTTGAGTAACGTCCTGGTTGACTAAGTGTGCAAATAATAATATATAATATAACGACGATGTTAGAAATCGTATATGTATAACATCAACGATAAATATATATTTGGTATACATTTGAAGCATGACGTGATTTTTAAAAAAATTTAATACCCACCAGAAGCCTTTTTTTGAAAGGTGTTTCACGTTTCAACGAAGATTAATCTAAAAATATACTTTTGGGGCGGTGGCTGTGATTCTCCTAAAACGGCGAATGGCGAACGTCAAAAAAATAGGGATAATGCGACTTGATGATCGGGGTTCTTTTATTTCCCGTGTATTTTTTTATTCTGCTATAAAAATTAGAACTACCCGGAAACTCACAACGAAACGAAGAAAAGCCATGTGCTCATGTGCTGATAAAACAAATGAAATGGGGTTTAACGTCCTACTGTTCATCTCCTATATTGGGCTAATGAAGACGGGCATACGCCATACAGTGTGCTATGAGGGAAATTTTGCCCGGGCAGCGGCACTATCGCCTACTCTTATATCGAATTCCAACTACCAAGGGATCTTTTACGTGCATTCCAATGTATACACGGGACCTCTGTTTTTCGTCTCATTCGAAGGACTAGACAGCTGTCCTTGTCAGGCCCTCCGTTCTGCACCACTGACAAGGGGAAACCACGCCGGAAAATCCAGATGAACTTTCTCGGCCAATGCAGGGATCGAACATCCGACCTCCAGACTAGCGAGCCAGCGTCTTAACCAACTAGCCACCGTGGCTCCCCTGATAAAACAAGAAGGCGTGTAATTTAAATGCCGTTTAAAGACATGTCTTCTCTTCACTTAATTCATTAAATATTCTCTTATATGTGTTAATAATTCTACGCTGATGAAATAATAAATATTTGCCAAAATTGAATTTCAAGATAATTTAAATGGACAGATTCGTCTGAATTGTCGCGGGGGGTTGGATGGCTGAATGGTTAGCGTGCGCGCGCTGTATCATAAAGTCTGTCATTGAGTCGACTGGCGTGGTTTCGAATCCTCGGTTGTACGTGACAAGGAGTAGGGTCGCCTGTCCAACCTCGTGGGTTTTCTCCGGGTCCTCCGGTTTCCTCCCACTGCTAAAGACCCCTATGCGCAAGGGAATTATTGAAATAAAATTAAACCATATGTTAGTCCCGAAATGACCTAGTTTGTGTCGAGTGGACGTTAAACCCCATTTCTCTCTCTCTCTCTCTGAATTGTCGCATACTTTGTAATGTAAGCATATCCGACTAAACTGAGTAGTCAAATAAAACATTGCCGATCACAGACTTATAGTCAAAGTGCCTTTTAATAAATCTAACGAAACGAAGAAATGCCATTTGCTGATAATACGAGAAGGCGTATATTTTAAATGTCATTTAAAGACATGTCTTCTATTCACTTAATTCATTAAATAGTCTCGTATGTATGTTAATAATTCTACGCTGATAAAATAATAATTATTATTTGCAGTTTTGCGAGAAAATTTTGAAAATTTAACTGCCGCAAATGTGTTTCTCGGCTATTCTAGCCCGTGAATTAAGCAACTTCAAACATTCCAATCGGTTTGCAACCGAAACCCCTCTCTATGCCGACCTGAATTCCAACCATCCAGACTTTTGCAGCTGCATTCACAAACAATAATCGATGTCCGAAAAATGTCACACAAAGCTTAGTGACTCCAGACAAAATGCTTTAATCTATAGTCAACTCAGTATAAATTCGGGATATTCAATTACTAGAGAAGTAAACATATTGTTTTATTAGATTTCGGACACTCTATTTTGCCAACTAGATGAAATAATTTGTTTTGTTTTCTCTTTACCCGTCTGCACAAAAAGTCAGATTGTCTGAAGGTTAGGGGGCAGCTGTACCCCCCCCCCCCCCCGCCGCCGCTCCCGCCCCACTGGTTCGTACGCCTATGAATTGATTTGAATACGTTTCTTAACGTTCGTGCTTTTTTGTATCACGATTTCTTTATCTGGTTCAAGGATAGTAAACAAGTTAAAACCATAGGCGTACGGGCAATCCGACTTTTCGGGCAGACGGGTAAAACGAAAAAAAAATATTTTATCTACTTGGCAAAATAAACTGCCCGAAATCTAATAAAACACCAATTTTACTTTTCTTTTAATTGAATACCATAAAATTGACTGAATTGATTAAACCATTTTGTCTGGAGCCACTCTACTTTGTGCGACATTTTTCGGGCATCGATTATTATTTGTGCATGCGGCTGCAACAGTCTGATTAGATGGTTGGAATTCAGGTCGCCTTAGAGTGGGATTTCGGTTACAAAACCATTGGATGTCTTTGGAGTTGCTTAACTCACAGGCTAGAATAGCAGAAAAAAGCATTTGTGGCGGTTAAATTTTCAAAATTTTCTCCGGGAGGGCGAGGCCCCCATACCCCACGACGATTGATTGATTGTTTGGGATTCAGTTCATCCAGGTAGGCCATATTAGAACACATTGAAGTTACTGTATTCACAGACTGGATTAGCAGGAAAACGCGTTAGCAGCAGTTAAATTTTTAAAATTTTCTCACAACGATTGATTGGTTGATAAGAATTCGAGTCAGCCACCTTAATTAGGCATTATACCACTTTCAAGTTACTTTATTCACGGGCTGGAATAGCAGAAAAACGCGTTTGCGGCCATCAAATTTTCCAAAATTTGCTTGGGGGTTCCATACACGGTAAGTTCCACTCCTTCGCCTTTCGCAGAAAACCGGCGCCACTGTCTGTAAAACCCCGAAATCTTTTCGGGCATTTCGGGTTCTGCCCTCTAACTGTCATCGAGCCGTACGCCGATGGTTAAAACCACCGTCGA